GTCCTTGAAGTTATCTAGACTTTCCTGACCATTGTAAGTTATCATTAAATCAGGTACTAGTCTGTTGCTTAATTATAATAGCTCAAATTAGCTAAAGAAAACCATATATAAACGTATCTATATCCTTACGATCAGCATTGTATCAAGTTTCCGCAGGGCCGGAATGTTCATATGGAGATCTATTCGTTGCTTTGTGACCATTATCTGCAAAAACAAGAAGCGAAAGGAAAATGCATGCATATTGAAATTGTATATAGATATACTGCCTTATAATTGCTCCGACACAGGTAAAGAGAGGAACGAGAGATCAGATACCTCCATGTTTGCTCCATCCTTGCTCTTCTGTTGAGATGGAACAAGTTCAACAACATGATCAGCTACAGACAATAGCCAATCTATTTCTTTTTTCCACCTTGCTTTCCTGTCAGGTGTCATAGGCTCTAAGCGGGATTGTTCGCCGAACACGGAAGCTAAGGCCATTTGTGAACAAAAATCCAGACCAGTCAACATAAACTGATTCTCAAATCTCAATTAAGCTACCATATAGGAATAGGAGAGACTAATAGGTTTAAAGATGGAGGAAATACCGGCAAGGTTCGTAATGGCGTTCGACAGTGCTAAAGCTGATGAAACTCCCTTTCCTCCACCAGACATATCCTCACCTAAGAGTAATTTTGCAAACTTTTCCTTCATCTGTTCCATATCTGAATTAAAAATCATTGCAGAATTTTTACAACCAGCAAGCAATAAACTATTTGCAGGAACCAAGAGATACATATGTTATCCACTTGTACCATAAAAACACGTCAATGAGAACAATGGCAGTATATATATATATATATATATATGAAACTTGCCAGTTAATAGCTGTTTTTCTCTGATTTGGAAGGCAGCAATCAGTTCTTCCATGGTTAGATTCGTCTGGGGACACGTTTCTCTTGAAGGTTTCGATCCCTTATATAAAGGCGCCTCCTCAAATTTAGAAGCACAGTCAATGCTCATACTCTTTATATGTCTTGTTTAATTCTCACCTGTACCCTTGGAATTCAACAAATTAGACCAAGTATTGTGTTTTCCTTGAACCATGTTCAAGGCTTTTTGCTTTGGATTCCAACAAGAACTCGAGGCCAAGGAGTTCAACAAAAAATAAATATAAAAAAAAAAGATGATTCTTGGGGAATTTACAGTTTTGTTGGGTTTTTTTTCCCATTCATGAACAATGTTATTGAGAACACTGGGTGTGTGAGTTAAAAGGAGGGAACACATTTAGATAATTCTATATATGTTGAAGGCTCTAGTTTCATTTCATTTATCCATGGTGTATGAATTGGATGGTTCATTTTCGATTTCAGAGTCAAAAGCCTGCTAAAAAACAGGGAGGATTCAACAGAATGCAAGCATTCACATACACACATATATGTTGAGAATGATGAACGAGCAAAACTGTAGGTGTTTCCTTTCATATATAAAAAGAGAAAAACGAATCATCTTGTCCATTTCAATTTTCCTTTTGCTGTAGTTTTATTTTTCCTAAATCCTAACATACAAATTCTTCTTTTGGTCAATGTTGCAAGAAACTAAATAAATAGCAAAAGTCGAGATTCTTTATATACAGATTCTATAAATTGTTTTTAATTTCTAATTAAATCAAATCATTGTTGACCCATTGTACCCTGTAACAATTGGCTATTCTTATTAGGATTAAAATATAAAATAGTCTCTAAACTTTATAAGTTTGATTAAACTAGTTCTTGAACTTTAAAGGGTTCAATTAATCTTAAATTTGACAAGTTCAGTCAAATTACCCGTTGAACTTATTTCAAAGGTAAAATTAACTCATGCATGTGATACGTTTAGTTAAATATGTTTTCATTTCTTAAAGAAATTAGATTTATCCATAAGTAAAAGAAATTCAAAAGTCGTTTTTTTATTTGAAAATTTAGGATCATTTGGTTTTAGAAAAATGTATACTATTTTCTTTTTTATTTTCTTAAAAAATAGAAAATGTTATAGAAAACATATCTGGTCGTAAAATTAGAAAATGAAAATAATTGAAAATATAAATATATATATATATAAAAAGTTGTTTTCAATTTTTCGCTAAAATTGTTTTAGAAATTTAAAAATAAGGAAATATAATATCTATATTTTTAACTTAACTTACACATATTCAAATTATTCTAACAATAATTTTTTGATTTAATGGTATCTGAAACCCTCAAACTTTTACAAAAAAAATCAATATGGTCCCTGAACTTTTTTTACACTCAATATAGTCTTTAGATTGAAAATTTTAATAATTTAGTTTTGTAGTATTTTTATATTTAATGTATTGAATATCTTAATATTCATTTATATTTTATGTCTAAATTTAAATATTTTTTTAAAAATAATCAAATCTAGCTAAAAAAATCAATTAAGCATATCTAACGTATTATCGTTTATCGTGTACTATCATAATATTATCGTAAATTGTCACATCAATACTATAGATTATCATGTAAGTTTGTGAACTACCATATAAGCGTCGTGGCAGTCAACGTTTGATTCCGTTCTTCAAAGGATTAGGTTAATTTTTTTAGTGCAAAAAATGTACAATGACTACACTAATTATTTTTTTCTCAATAGTTTGAGGCTCTCGATTATCATTAAACATTTTTTTTTATTTTAATGTCACTTTTGTGTTCTCTTGCTTATAACAATATTTTTGTGTAATTTTAAAATTTAATTGATATCCAATACACAATAACATTATATTCTTATTGTAAACTAAAATATATTTTATGTTAATAAATTTCTTATCAACTTTATTTTTTTATATTTGCATAACTCACATGTTAAATTTATGTAATGAATTTTTTTAAATAATTTTAGTTTTATTTAGTTTTTTAACTATTTATTCACTTTTATATTCAAAAATTAAATATCAACTACATTTTTTCTATTTTATTTTAAATTTTAAGTTTTCATTTATTCACCAAACATGTTTGCTAATTTTTTAAAAAAATTGAAAGTGAAAGCTATTTGTTAAAAACAAAAATTAAAAATAATAAATAGAAAATATTTTTTTAAACCAACATACCCTTATTATTTTATAATTTTGCTTGGTACAACTCAAACACTCTAAGTCACAGACTCACAGTCATACATTCACACAGTACAAGCAGCTAATTCTTACTATTCAAAATAATGAGGGGTGGACACTCATAATAAATATTAGCGTAAGGTATCTATTTGGTCAATTACATATTTTTGTATTTTTATTTTGATCATTTATTTTAAAAAAGAGAGAGTTATGATTAATGTTAAATTTTATTTTTTTTATCATTAACAAGAAATTTTTTAACCTTATATTATATAATAACAGTTTTAATTATTTAATTATTTTTTCAAATTATATCTAACTTAAAATTTACTTCTATTTTAATCATCAATAATTTAATAACAATAATAATGTATCTTAATATAATACTAATTTTAATCTTAAAATTTGTATAGTCATCGTTAAGTTCTTTTTTTCTTCATCTTTATAATTAACAGTGACACTAACTTTGGTATTAGTCGCCGACCATCTATATTTATTGTTTTCCTTTACTTCATTATAGTGTATTTTATTTTTATTTTTTTACTTTTAATAATTATGTCTTTATGACACATCTTCTTCCGTCTTTATGACACGGTTTTTTCTAGTGGTGTTCAAAAGTACCAGGCCCGAACTACCCGATCTGCCAACCCGATGAAAAACTACCCGATCTGCCAACCCGATGAAAAACTACTGGGTATTTTAGAAGAAAACGCCCAATTTTTTGGGTTGGGTACCCGACACATTATTTTTGGCGGGTTTCTTGGCCGGGCTCAGGTCACAAAATTAACCTTAACCGAGTACCTTCCGACCTGTCAACCCGGTTTCCCTTTTTTATTTTACTTTTATTTTTATTTTTGAATTAGTTTTTTCATTTCTAATTTCAAAATTATTTCACCCTAACCTTCTAAATCTCTATTTTTTGAAATTATTTTACCTTAACATTTAATTATTTGTTAAATTATTTCTTTTAATCTCAAATTATTTTAAATTTAATTGTAATTTTATAATTTTATTTTATTTTAATATTATATAAGTTGAATTTATAATTTTTTTGTTTATGTTATGTATTATAATTTTTTAAGTTTTAAATTTTGTTTCTTTTCTATGTGAATTTTATATAAATTTAAAAAATAAAATAAAATGAATATTAACCGAGTACCCAACTCTTACAGGCTGGGCCACGGGTGACCCGAAAGTTTCAGGTACCCGGTATTTTGAGTACCGAAAATTCGGGTATCCAGATTTGAACACCCCTAGTTTTTACGGCTTTTATGACACGTTTTTTGTCATTTGACCGTTGTTTTCTTTTATCCTTTTCTTCAAGGTGAGATTTGACATCGCTACGACTGATCAATATAGCGCTTATTTGTTATCAAGTTGGTAGAGCACAAGGTTCTTAATCTTGAGGTCGTGGGATCAAATCCCACGGAGGACATTTCATAATTCGGAGGTCTCTTACGGAAGTTGCTCTCAACCTGATGTTGGAGGCAGCCTACTATCTTACCTCCCCTTACCCCATACATATGGGAAAAAGGGACAGCCATTTGTTATCATGTTAATATTCTCTGTTATGGTCTATTGAATTTGATTTGGATACGTGATTTACGTTCATAGATAGTATTTTCATGTCGTTCGATTCTAATTTACGGTTTATCTGTGGTCTTCCAATAGTTCTATCTTTTTTTTGGTTTATTTGTGGTTTGTTCGAATTTATTCCGTCAAATTTTATAACTTTTTCCTTGTATGGTTCTTATGTGATCTTAAGTGATATTTTTTATATTTAAAAAATATCATTTTTATATATTTAATTTATAATTGTCATCGTAAATATTTTTTTTTAATAAAATTAACGAATTATATGCCCACTAACTACCGCCCTCTTCACTTAGGCTTTTTGGGCTTTGAAATTCCACCTTAACATCTGTCACAGTTCAAACAACTATGCAATCCATTGGAGTCCTGATGGCTTGCCCCATGAACTATTACCTCGAACAACAACTCGAGAAGCGTTTCAAGCTCTTCAGGTTCTGGACAGTGCCGGACAAATCATTGTTCCTGGCTTCTCACAAAGACTCAATCCAGGCGGTGGTCGGAGACGCCTCTTCCGGTGCCGATGCTGAGCTGATCGAGGCTTTACCCAAGCTGGAGATTGTTGCCAGCTTCAGTGTAGGAATTGATAAGATAGATTTGGCAAAGTGTAAAGAAAAGGGCATCCGAGTTACCAACACCCCTGACGTTTTAACTGACGACGTGGCGGATTTGGCGATTGGGTTGATATTGGCGGTTTTGAGGAAGCTTTGTGAGAGTGATCGGTACGTGAGGAGTGGCAAGTGGAAGAAAGGGGACTATGTTTTGACCACTAAGGTTCGTTGAACTTTTTTTTTTGCATCATTGGGCAATTTGGGTTTATTTGATAATAAGTCTAACTCAGTTTGTAGAGCATAACGCTCTTAACTTTGTGGATCGAGTACCACTTAGGCAATTCATAACGGAGGTTCACCGAAACTGTTATTAACCTGTTGTGTAGCCTATTATCCTACCTCCACTTACCTCATTACATATGGTAATAGGGTCAACTATTTTTTTTATAATAAGTAGTTCGTTGAATTCTTTTCTATTTGTTGGTTTTTTATGTTTCAATGATTTTTAATGACATTAGCATTATCATTTCTGAACTGGTCTTAGATTCTGTCGAATGTGTTAATCGTTACTGTTATATGGTGCTTTTAGTTTCAGACCTCAGTAATTTTTAATGGCAAAGAGCTCATTTTGTTTTGAAATGGTACGGAGTTTTCTTTGTTTTGTTTGTTGCTTGAAGTGCATCTTGCGCTTTTCACTAGCGGGTTTCAGTGTTGTTATTATTGTTTTTTGTCTGAAATAGAATTTGATTTTAGAATGATGTTTTCCAAAATAATTTTATGCATGGAAGCACTGGAGGATGGTTGCATTTGCATACTTGTATAATTGAAAGTATATGTAAATATATATATATATATAGCTCCGCAGCAAAGTATTTTTCTTAGAATTGTTCTGCATTGAAAAGGTGCATTTGTCACAAATCCTATTTGGAGTTCGTAATGAATTCACTGCACATTTTGCATGCTGAGAAATAAAGATAGATGCTGGTCTCTTCATTCATGGTTTTAGATTGAATCTGTATATTTATATATCATAGAAGTTGTTTTCAGTTGTATACGGGCTCTGGGTCCAAAGAATCTGGGTACTGAAACCTTTCTTATACTACATTTAGTTTCAGATGCAACTGTATGCTTGTCATCTTGGTTGGTTGGTTGTTTCTCAAGCCTCGAGTAATTGCTTTGTGATGGCTGCATTAATTGATTTGGTGTCATTGACATCACAAATAATCTGTATTTTGCACTCGATGATCATACCCTGTGGAACTAATTTTCTCTCTTTGTATTTCAGCATTTATCAGTATATTACAGTAATTTTTAATGGCCTATACCGATTTATATGATGAACTAATGCTTTATTAAGGTATTCATATTGAAAAGGAAAAGTAACTTTGCGAATAATTCTTGTACTTGCCGTCTTCTTAAAATTGAGATAGATATGGCTTTCATCTCAAGTTTGCAGTTGATAGAAAACACTATTAAGTGTAAGTTTTATCAGCATACACTCATCACTTCAACATTTATAGTTCTTCAAATTGGATAATGTACTGTTTTATTCGTTTCAGTAGAACTGGGGAGCTAATAATCACAGTTCATATTCCCACGCAATTCTTGAATGATTGAGTGCTCACCTTTCTGCTTTTCAAGAGGTTTTAGTCAATCTTTCATGCCATTGGGATGATAAGTCTATAACTACTTTGACCATGCTTATACTAAAAACCATTTAGTTGATTTACATGCACAACTACAAGCACCTGTTCGAGAAGAGTGCGTCAGTGCATGCATATTGTGTTGTTGAATTTGCTTTTTGAGGTGCTTTGCTCACCTTTGAGTGGTTTCCTTCTCAACTTTTTTTTTTGATAGAAGTTGGAAGTCTCATTAAAAACTCCCTTCGTATTCGTCCACACACTAAGAAATATGTTAACGAACATTGGAAGGAAGAAAAGAGTACCTCATAGTTTATTAATAATAATAACCAATACATAAGAAAACACGGAATATCCTCCTATGGTGATATACACCATTACAACAAACACCTAAAACTCTCACAACCTCAACCAAAAACCACAATCGACAAATACCCTATTTCTAAGTTACACCTCCAGCATTTGGATAAAAAACAACTCAAAATAACATAACACAAAAAAACCAACCCCAACAACCATATAAACAAAATCAAAGCCACAATTGAGGAGACAAGATCTAATGAGAGTCGACTTTGTCAGGGACCCAAGAGTTTGGTTTGAATGAAGGCTCAATCTCATGCACCATGATTTTGAAGGAGTTGTCACTGACCTTCAATTTCAACGTCTCATTAATTCTCACATAAACCTTTGTGAGGACTTGAATTTTTGTCCGATCAAAAGATGATGGTGACTAACAGTTTTCGTCGATTGCTAATAAATAACCCCATTTATCTGCAATATTTTTGAAAGTATCCCAATTCCAAGCATGAAAAGGAACACCCTCGCAAACTAACCACACTCGACGACGCTCCACTACCAAACTCTCTAACCAAGCTTCGACTCTGAAGAACCACTTTGCCAGTGTCTCTGATTTATCGTTCTTCACACTTCTCAACGAAGTCGAGTCTTCGAAAACCATTAGAACTACATTTTCAGCAGCTCTCATTATCGAGAAACCAGTGAGGCCCTTGGCTTGTATTTGATTAGCAAGATTACTGATTTTGATAAAGTTCTTACACCACCCCACTAGACATTTACTCAATACGAGGAGTCTATCGTCGTCCACCACTTTCTCCAATAGGAATGACGAGGTTTGAATTTAGCGAACGAAACACCAATTTTGCTGCCGTCAATAAAAGAACCATTCATTTTTGAGATCGTTTTCCTTGCTTCTTCAATTGTTGCGAAGCGAATGAAACCAAAGCGAACTCTTTTTGAATTTCTTTTATTTGGAATAAAAGAATCAATTACCCGACCGTGGGTGCAAAATAAAGATCCAAGCCTCTTCCAATGGATATTCTCTGGTACATTTTCAATAAATAACGTGTAGCATCCAGACTTTTCATTACTGCACCCCTTTGTGGTGGACTCCTTGGTTCCATCGTGGACAACATTTGCGGCAGACTTTTCATCGCAACACCCAATTTTAACAGGCACATAAATACTTGGAGATACTATAGGAGCTGGATTTGACATTGGTAGTACTGGAGGAATAGGATAACATCATACTTGTCAAATGCATTAGAATCTGTAACTATTCCTCTTTTTAACAACTAGTTTCTTCTTTTCCATCACAATGTGCAAAAGGGACTTCAACTTGGCATAAAAAACCATTTCCTAAAGAGCATCCTTGGTAGCAACTGCAAAATTTGCATTTGAGAAGAGAGCGAAACCTTTAGGTTTTTCTCCCTTGTAGCTCACTTGTGAAGCTTCAAAACCTGGAAGCCATCTCAGTAAATTCTGCAGCTCTCTCTCTTTGACATCTTTAGGCAGACCCGTAATGAAGATAGTACGAACATCGTCATGATGAGAAGGGTGAGATGGCGGAGAAGACGCGGCTGCAGAGGGCGGAGGAGCTTGGACCGGAGGTTTCTGCTGGTTATAAGGGTGGATTCCAGCACCCGACATGTGATGAATGATTATTGAAGTTTAAATCTCAATGACTTGACGATCTTTCCTGGTCGCGCGCCCGGCGGAGGTGATGAAGAGATTCCGACAAGTAGATCTTGAGCCTGAGAAAAGGTGGAACTGTGGAGCCGTCCTTCAACGGAACCCTCAGAGATGGATTAGATCGGGAGATTGCAACTTGGCAGAACAATGGTGGGTTTTGTCGAAGAGGTCAAAGGCAGATTCACGGAGAACGGCAGTGAGTCTGGACACTAGGATAGATGGGTTTTGTTCGCGAGTGTACGGCGAGCCCGGTGGTATGACGGTGTCGAACACGGACGGCGGCGTTAATCGGTGAAAAACAGCGTTTAGATCTACGCCGATTGAAAGATTTTCTCGAAAATCTAATATCGAAAATGGAATCAGAGTGAGGAGACGATCTTCCTTGAGGAAAAACGGCGGCGAACGGATGACGGAGTGTGGCGGCGAACGGATGACGGTGGACGGCGATGAAGTTCATGTTAAACATGATGCAGTGGTAAAGATGTGCTGAAATGATGAATGATAACAAAATCACCTTGAACCAAGAGAGAAGCGGGAGCTTCTCTCACTAGGTTTGAAATTCAAAATTTTCATTTCCTTCTCAACTTTCAAAGTAGAGAAATTTTCGCTGAGAATATATTCTCGTCATACGATTAAAAATATGAAGGCTAATCTTTTGCTGTTTTAGATTGTGAAAAAGAAATTTTCTATTGAGCTTCGAATCTATATGTTTTGAAAATTTGGAAGAAGCTGTCTGGAACAATAGTGACTTTTTATAACCATTTTTTGGGTCTATTATATGCTTTCATCCTTTTGGTAAGAGATACATTGAGATTGAATTGAATCTATATTAAACTTGGTTCTTCTTGTATATACGTTACATTACATTAGATTCGATGGTACCAGATTAAAGGGTTTCCATCTTTTTCCTTTTTCACTTTGTTTTCCTTTTAATCATTTCAGTTCACTGGGAAAAAAGTTGGCATTCTCGGTCTGGGAAGGGTTGGCATGGCAATTGCAAAGAGAGCCGAAGCATTTTGCTGCCCTATTAGTTACCACTCGAGAACAGAGAAACCAGATATCAAATACAAATACTATCCGAGCGTTGTCGAGCTGGCTTCCCATTGTGATATCTTGGTTGTTTCTTGTCCCCTGACTAAGGAGACCCACCACATAATCAACAGGGAAATCATTGATGCATTAGGTCCAAAGGGAGTCCTCATCAACATTGGGAGAGGTCCTCACGTCGATGAACCTGAGCTGGTTTCTGCATTAGTTGAACGCCGTCTTGGAGGTGCGGGGCTTGACGTGTTTGAACACGAACCCAATGTACCGGAAGAGCTCTTCGGGCTTGATAATGCAGTGCTCGTACCTCATGTGGGAAGTGATACTGTGGAAACCTGCCAAGCTATGGCTGATCTTGTGATTGGGAACTTGGTGGCTCACTTTCAGAAGAAACCACTGTTAACTCCTGTGGTTTAATGGTGCTATATTAGTAGATTGCAAACTTCAGATTGCTGCTCTCATTTATATTTTCATGATTTTATGGACATTTTTGTAGATATTATATGTAGATGATTGTAAAACCTTCTTTCTATGGGCAAATATTTGTTGCAAGTTGAAACAGGAATAAAGTTTTAGCCATCTTTGGTTGATTCTTCATTCAAATTGAGTGAAAAGTATTTACTGATTGCATATTCGACCTAATGGTTACGCACTGGATCTCTCATAGAAATTCCAAATTCGATCCTTATTAAGACTATATATATATTCTTTAATTTTCCACATCAGCTGCCATTGTATGAAAATGGCCGTAATAAAAATAACATTAAAATTTATCTATTCCAATACAAAATTTTAAAAATTGATTGACCAAATTAAAAGCATTCTAAAAATCCAGGGACCCACAAGTATATCTTATTTTAAATTTAATTATAAAATACATAGATATTGGTTTGTCAAACGCTTTTTAAGGCCCAAATCAAGCAGAGCGTTGTGGACTTGTAGTTTTTGTTTTTATACCAAAAAACCCCCCTTATTTCAAAAATTTCCAACTTCCCTCTTAAATGGACCTTCTACGACGACGGGTTCATCTACAAACGCGAGAGGCGCCACCGCGTTCTCTCCCAACCAGCAGCGTTTCCGGCGGATCCCGAGGAAGAGGAGAATCGAAGGAGAGAGTGGAAGAGAAAGAATCTTTTCAGACTGAAGGAGAAGTACAATAAAGAGATCAAGCAGTGGGAGGATTTGAAGAACGCCTTGAATTCAATGCAAGAGAAGGCTTTAGGGTTTCAATTTAAACAGAAAGAAAGAAGAAAACTAGTGGAGACGGAAAAGGAAAAGGAAACGGCATCATTCTCATGGTCGGAGAACGTAGAAAAGGATAAGTAAGATAACCGTTTTGGCTCTATAGTTGATGAACTTCTTTAGCGGGTAAACTTTGGAATTAATTTTGTTACCCTTTTAATTTCTTTGTTGATAATATTTGCTAACTTTAATTAATTGATCAAAAACTAAATTACGTATTTACTATTCAATAAACGGAATGTTTATTAATTCTGGAGTTTTCTGCTAATTATGGGTTTCCTTGTAGGCAGAAGCTCAAGAAATGATAATTCGTGATGTTTGGAATTTGTGTGAAGCAATATGAAATGCAGGGGAGGAGCAACTGAAGCAATCTTATTTGGATCTCCATGTATGAGCATCGCCGCGTGACCTAATGGCATTGCTCTGTGATGTGTAAGAATACTTTTAGGATTGTTCTTGTCAATTAAAAAAATAGTTTGTCGATTAAAAAATGCACCTTTCATGAACCTTCACTCCCTACGCAGGCAAGAAATTGTGCAAAGGCCAAGTTTGAAAACTTGAAGCTTTTGTTGGCTTGTAGCAGTAACTATGTATTTTTCAAACTTTTATGCAAGTAATGCTCACTATATATAGCTTGTTAGTATGTTCTTTTTCGAGGAGAATTAGGAAATTTAGGACTCTAAACTTACTGAATATTATATTTTGTGTCATGATTACATGAATCAATCAAAATAAACTACAAGTTCAAAGTGTATGTTTTATGTTTAGTAGATTAAACATGCAAAATGGTGCTGAAATTCCTTTGACACTCAAGTTTGAATTCCATTCAAGAGGAAATAGTACCGGAAAACTTGTGAGTAGGAAGCACCATAGGGAAAATTTTGTCCTTCGGCCGGTGATTCTACAAGAACCAAGCCCATTAAGGTCGAGGAGGACGCCCTATCATGCATGCACCAATAAATCCCGGCACTTGAGTTTATATTTCGGGGGTTCCTGTTTGTGATGCCATACCTTTTTTTCTTTTTGCTTGTTTCCTCTTCCCACTTGTAAAGGTTGTAATTTCCTTCTTATTTTTTATGACTAAAAACTTGAATTTAATAATTTCATTAGACTAACTTTCACCATTCTAATATTTACCAAACTTTTACTTTATTTCTGATATTAGCGTTGACCGTTCCCGGCTTTAGAATTCAATTAATTCCATCCATAAAATTACTCAATTTTGGACTAATTTAATTCACATTAATTACAATAAAGATAAAAGGAAAGATATTAGAGAAAATAACCTCAGTGACCAAAAATGCCTTATAATATACGATTTTAATCAACTTTTTTTGGATTTGTCAAAATGACCAACTAAATCGCAATGCGATCGATAATTCGCAACGCGATCTCCGGTATCGCAAATCAGTTTCCATATTCGCAACGCGAACTTCGACTATCGCATTGCGATTTACATATTTGCATTGCGATAGTCGAAGTTCGCGTTGCGATAGTCTAAGTTCGCATTGCGATAGTCCAAGTTCGCGTTGCGATTTTCCAAATTCGTTGCGATAGTCGAAGTTAGCGTTGCGATTTATTCCAAGTTCGTTGCGATAGTCCAAAATCGCAACGACGGTATTGCATTTGTTTCTTAAGAATTTTCTCTAAAAAGATAGTATTCGCGCGGACGTGTCGAAGACACGTATTACCACGACCACGACCACGACCCGAGACGGACGGCGGCTGCGGCGGCGCGCGAGAGTCCCCCTTGTTCTCTATCACTCAACAAGGAAGTGGGAAAGCCAAGCCTTAAATACCATTCCCAATAGTGTTTCCAATACTATGTGGGATTGAGCATTACCAAAACTTGTTCCCAATACTATGTGGGATTGAGCCTTAAATAGTGATATTATTTTTGAATGTTTTGCTTAAAATTGCAATAATCGCGATTGATTGTAGATTGACTTTTAATTATGACATATTTAATCGTATAATACTAATGCAATTGGTTGCTGATTCAGTTGTTTTAAGGTGCATGGTTGTTAATTGTTTCCTGAATAATCACATTGTATTGGAAACAAGTGTTGGTAATGCTCAATCCCACATAGTATTGGAAACACTATTGAGAATAGTATTTAAGGCTTGACTTTCCCACTTCCTTATTGAGTGATAGAGAACAAGGGGGACTCTCGAGCGCCGCCGCCGTCTCGTCTCGTCTCGGGTCGGGTCGTGGTCGTGGTCGTGGTCGTGGTCGTGGTAATACGTGTCTTCGACACGTTCGCGCGAATACTATCTTTTTAGAGAAAATTCTTAAAAAACAAATGCAATACCACCAGTCGTTGCGATTTTGGACTATCGCAACTAATTTGGAATAAATCGCAACGTGAACTTCGCCTATTGCAACGAACTTGGACTATCGCAATGCGAATATGTAAATCGCAATGCGATAGTCGACTATCAACACGAACTTCGACTATCGCATTGCGATTTACATATTCGCATTGCGATAGTCCAAGTTCGCATTGCGATAGTCGAATATCGCATTGCGATTTACATATTCGCATTACGATTTACATAGTCGCGTTGCGATAGCCGAAGTTCGCGTTGCGATAGTCGAAGTTCGCGTTGCGATAGTCGAAGTTCGCACTGCGATAGTCGACTATCGCATTGTGATTTACATATTCACATTGCGATAGTCCAAGTTCGCATTGCGACAGTCGAAGTTCGCATTGCGATAGTCGAAGTTCGCATTGCGATAGTCGAAGTTCGTGTTACGAATCTGGAAACTGATTTGCGATATCAGAGATCGCATTGCGAATTATCGATCGCATTACGATTTAGTTGGTCATTTTGACAAATCCAAAAAAAGTTAATTAAAATCATATATTATAAGACATTTTTGATCAATAAGGTTATTTTCTCAAGATATTAAGGCCAACCAGTTCATTTTTGCCTGACAAAATTGTTTACGATAGCAGATCTGTCCTCAAATTAAAGCTTGTTTCTTATTAGGGAAGGGAAAAAATCTATAAAAAAAAAAGTCAGAAAAACAAAAATATCTCTTCCACCACAGATCTGATCCGAAACTCTCAGATATCTTTACCTCCATTGCGGAATTCTCAAGAACCCTCCTTTGAAACCTAAACACCATGCTTTTATCCAAAAATCCCACTTCAAAATTCCTTCTTACTCTTACCTTTGTCCTAATACTCTCTTTTCCAATAAACACCAATTCCTCTGATCCCACCAGCTCTGAAAATGATTCTGATGAACTTGAACAGCTTTTAGCCCTGGATGAACAAGAAGATCAGCTACAACAAGACCAAGAGTCTATCAGTAGATTTTCGGAAGCAGAGGTGCTAAGTAAAGCACAAAGGATAGTCCTTGAACTCAACAGTGATAATTCCAAGAGGGTTATTGATGAGAACGAGTTTGTTATGCTTTTGGGGTGTGCTCCTTGGTGTGTTAGGAGTGCTGAGCTTATGCCTCACTTCGCTGAAGCTGCTACTTCGTTGAAAGCATTGGGAAGTCCCATTGTGATAATAAAATTAAAAAATTTATCAAAAAAAACTTCAAAAATTTATTATTCGACTAAGATTAAAAATCTCAAACAAATTAAATATCTCAAAATTATTCAATCAATAGAAAGTTAATCTTGTACAATACTCCTTGTTCACTCTATTTATCTCATTAAACTTGCCGTTTTGTCCATTTTGATGTTTTTTTTATAATTTTAACTTTGTATTATTTAATATTTATTATTAATAGAAAATAAAGAAATATATTTTAAAAATTCTTGAATCAGTGGGTGAGTCTAGTTTCAGTTCTGTTTATCTCATTAAACTTGCCGTTTGTCCATTTTGATGTTTTTTTTTATAATTTTAACTTTGTATTATTTAATATTTATTATTAATAGAAAATAAAGAAATATATATTTTGATGTTTTTTTTATAATTTTAACTTTGTATTATTTAATATTTATTATTAATAGAAAATAAAGAAATATATATTTTAAAAATTCTTGAATCAGTGGGTGAGTCTAGTTTCAGTTCTGTTTCAGATCATAACTACATTTACAAACATTCTCTTTTTTCTTAATCACTTTGATGCCGAGTGAGACTGCAATTCTAGACTTCTGGATCTTTCAAATTCACATTTTTTATCCTTTGTTTTGATATATCTTTTACTACGCTGCCATCTTCTGAGGTGCATGGCTAATGTATAACATTGTCTTCTAGTGTCTCAACTTTGCTAATGCACATGGGAATGTAATCATCATGATGTTTTTGCAGGGATCGGATTATGAAGCATTTGTAAAAGCAGCA